CGCCCATCTCTGGCGGCTGGAAGCCTGCAGTTGAGAGGAATTGGCAGGTCAGGGCAGTCCGGCCTCCTTCCTCTTCTCCGCTGTGCTCCCAGGTCCCTGCGGCTTGATCGTGACCTCACCAGCCTTAATGGACGACAGGGGACTGCCACGGCCGAGAAAACCGGGCACTTAGTCCCTGCCACCTGGCTCTGGAGGGCGAAGGGCTTTCCGTCTTGGGCAAAAGACGGTTGGCCAGACCATGACTCCACCAGGACTGCTAACCACGGCTTCCATGCCTGGCCTGCACACTTGTATACATAAGCACTTTATGTATATGGCCATAAGCATGCTGAAGACGGCTAGAAAACCTCCTAGGATGAAACCATCTCCATCCCATCCGGCAACCTGCCCAACCCCTCAGGCTCTGGCATTCATGAACTGTCAGTCTCCTCACTGAACATTCTTGTCACCTTCTTGCTCTAACCAGAACCCAGCTCTCCTGTGGCCCTTCCTAGTGGGTAAATCTCCTAGCTCGGGGGTGGGCAAACTTTTTGACTCGAGGGCCACAATGGGTTCTTAAACTGGACCGGAGGGCCGGAACAAAAGCATGGATGGAGTGTTTGTGTGAACTAATATAAATTCAAAGTAAACATCATTACATAAAAGGGTACGGTCTTTTTTTTTTTTTAGTTTTATTCATTTCAAACGGGCCGAAGCGGGCTGTAGTTTGCCCACGGCTGTCCTAGCTCCTTGGTGTTGCTTCCAGACAACTCTCCCTTCTCCAGTGTCCTTAGCTATGAGCCTTTTCATCGGAGTAGATGGTACCCTCCTTGGAAGCCATCTGCTGTCTCAGATCACTATTCCTCACTTCTCCATGATTTTAGCTTCAGGATCACTGCCACTCCCCCTGCTGCCAAATTCATTCTTGGTGACTTCCATATCCAGGGAGGTGATCCTTCCAAACGCCACCCCTGCCTCTCTGACCAGCTCTCCCTCTCCTCTCAGCCCCTCCCTCCCATGGTCACTCTGAGCCCTTGTCTCAATGGCAGCCTCTTCAGAATTTCAATCTTAGGCATCTCTCTCCTCCCTTCACCTCTCTTTCCAGCTCTCTCCCTCCAGAGTCTCAAATCCCCACAATCCTTCCAAACCACGGTGATCTCCCATCCTCGGTGCCTACCTCCTTTTCGCTTCCCCTCACTCCTCAAGTCCTCAGTTTTTCCTAATCATTTACATTATTTGATTAATCATTAATAACACTAGAGGCCCGGTGCACAAAAATTTGTGCACTGGGGGTGTGTGTGTCCCTCAGCCCGGCCTATGCCCTCTTGCAGTCTGGGACCCCTT